GGTTCGGGCGATATGCTACAATCATGAATCGCGGCGATCAGCGTCTTCGATGTGGCTTTACTTTAGTATATTAAAATATTTCAAAACCACATTTCCTTGCACGCATAACCGCGAAAACGAACACCAGTAAACTTGGGGCGAACCGACTTTGGGGCGAACTGACTGTGGGGCGAACTGACTATGGGGCGAACTGGTCTGGGGCGAATGTGCATTGGGGCGAACTGACTGTGAATCCCATCAGCAACTGACAACACTGTAGCTCTGATTCACTATATACATGTACTACCGGGTATATAGATTTGTAATTTGTCTGGCCGAGTTAGCTAGTGTATGTATGGCTTAGTCTTGCAGAGAAATCAGTGTAGACTAGATGCAGTAATAATCTATAGTGAATAATGCTAATTACCTAGCAGTTAACCAGGCCATTCTTGAATGTACTCGGAATGGCAGGATTCCAGGCTAAAATCTGTGGGACGATTGCAAAATCATAAAGGTATACAATACAATCCTTATGCAAGTTGCCAAACACCAGGCCAAACTTGTTCAAGCCGAAAATGGGTATTTTTGTATTAGTTTAGCCGCAACATTCTACAGTCACTAGGTTCGAAAATATGTTTGTTACATTCTCAAAGACGGAAATTCGTCCTGATCCTCAAACATTGCCAGGACCAGAAATAGACAATGGAAAATGTCTTTTCAGCGAAAATTAATTCCAGCTAAAATAAAGCATTTTACAGTATATCAGTCTGTTTCTGTGTGAGAATGGAGGGGTTGATTTCAGTTCTGATGAGCTATCGATCATTTACGCAGTGAAATCAACCCCCCTATACATACAACGTCTTTTCACCTGAGTGTGCAGATTTCTAAAGTAATGACACATCTTGAGACTTGTGTATTGAGTTTATTATGACCAGTCTATATATGGAGAACGTGTGTACATTTTGTGATTATTTTGACACATATACAAGTTAGGATACCAGTGATAAATGTATGAGTAGAACTATATTATTTTTTGTTTTACAGGTCAGAGTATAGTGCATTTTGGAAATGTGTTCAAGCAGGATTCGCCTATCTTTTTACACAGCTCTGCAAGGTACTAGATTTTCATATTCAACTGACAGTGAAAACAAATGTTATGACATACAACCCTTGTGATATGGCGACGTATTTACAAGTGATCTTCATGACTTGTTTAAATACTACGATCGCATAGGGTTGTTGTGTAATAACATCTTTATCATAAGTGTAAATGGTTTCACGATCTGTGATGTGCTGTGGAACACTACAGATGATTTTTGGTGCAGATTTTATTATTAGTCTTTATTCAGACAAAGCCCGAAAACCCAGAACTTATGTGTCAGTCTGCATGTGTGTATGCATGCATGCATCCACAGCTGTATTTCAGACATGTCTTTTGTTATAAAAATACACTAAAATCAGGTATTTTGACATCTTTGGAACCAGATCTCAGACATGTGTAATCGTAATTTTTTAAACTCATTGAATGTCTGGATTCTTAACCACAGGGACAGTGCTATGCATTGCAAGTGTACTGTTATAACGACAGACATGCAAACTCTTAGTCAAAGTTCATAAAACTTTTCATAGTTGATTGGAGTAATCGTGATATTGCACATATTCAATTTAAAACTAACAATTCAATTTTGTTGATCATGACCTTTAGTGGATTAATTTCGTAATAATTTTGAAAATTGTGAAGGTAGTAGGATAATCTTTTTGCTAGAAAAATGATAAAAACATATCAAACCTAAAACCTATACATTTGTAGAAAGGATTTTAGCAAACCAAAATTGTTTAAAATTGAAAGTGAAGGAAACAGCAATTTTACAGTCTGTCAGTATTTACAGTTTGTGCTGTGATTGTTTACAGTACTTTGTGATATTACATATAAATGATCTGGCAAACCTAGCAAAAGTTGTCTGATTGTTCTTGAAATGGCTCACAGTGTTGTAGTATTGCAACAGTTTTACAGTGTGGTCAGAAGCTGACAATTATATATATGGATTTTCGTAATTATTTTTTTTACTTTGTTTTCAGATGCTTGTGTTAGCTACATTCTTTCCTGCCTCAGATCCAATCAGTGGTAGCTTAGACATCCTGGGAGTGAGTACCAATTAGAATACATCTGGGAATTTATATAAGTGCTATTAATACGGTACATTTGTCACATGGTTTCAATCATAGTTACTTGCAAGCAATATGGCTGAGAAAATTAATATGCAAGTTTTTGTTTTGCAGGAATTTATGAAGGCGACAATAGACATAGCTGACTTAGTAGGGCTATATTTTGTAATGACGAGTATAGCTGGAAAAGGTGAAATTAAGTTTATGGTTGCTGGAATGGGATGGGCTACAGCAGAGTTGGTCATGACCAGATTTCTACCATTGTGGTTTGGTGCACGGGGCGTTGAGTTTGACTGGAAATATATTCAGATGAGCTTTGATTCAAATATCAGTTTGGTAAGTCTACCTCAGCGTACCTAGGGGAAGCGGCATTTAAAATAAATTTGTGTACATTATGTTAATATAATTTATTTCTTGTTGTCAGCTTCAACTATGAATTATTCATTTCAACTAGAAACCTGCAGACAGGGACATTCCCTCATTTGAAATGCTTTGCATTTCCCATCAAACACCTTCGGCGTGAATATCTAAGATACAAAATTACATTAGGCCCGAGGACTGTCGACAGTCTAAAGTAACCCTAAACTTCAAGTTAGCCACTTTTGAGCAAAATGTGATGCCTGGTCTTACAAGTGACATAAAGATTTTAAAAATTTGATGAAGCATTCCCTCCTCCCTCTCGCTTTAATATTTAGTCCCCGTTCGGACGCAGTCCGAAAACGGGGACTTATGTTTTGCCCTGTGTGCGTCCGTGCGTCCGTGATCACCTGTATCTCGAACATGCATGGGATCGATTAAGTTCAAACTTCACTCATACATCACACATTATATGGGGACATATGCACATGCATTTTT